ACACACACACACACACACACACACACACACACACACACACACATCTCGAGAAATTAGACTGGCCGACCAGAAGTTACCTAACGCGTCCAGATCTATCCCTGGCCGGCGGAACAGCGGAGAGTCAAAGGCGCTGTACCTGGCCACCACACTATCCGTGTCCTCCTCCTCCTCCTCCTGACCCTCCTCCTCATCGCTGTAATCATCATCATCCTCCTCCTCCCGGGAGGTACAACCTCCTCCAACACCACCTCCTCCTCCTCCAGCACCTCCTCCCCCACCTCCCTTTCGTCTACTTGAAGGAATCAACCTCCTGGACTTCCGCCTCCGACCCCTACCACCGCACTCTCGGCACCACCGGAAACACGCGCATAGCAATGGACGCGGTGCCATGGCAACGGAGCCACCACCACGTCACACACACACACACACACACACAGGATTACTCCACAGTTGTTGGGAGTCGATTCTTCGATGGAAGTTTTCAAGGAGAGAACAAGCATAGATGGCTTTATATAGCCATGACGTTTTCCTACTCCTAAACCAATATATAGATACACACACGTTAACAGTCACTGCACGCCACAGGGGTATCAATATTGCTACATCATGAAAATTTGTAAAGGTTATTGTGAGTATTTCACAGCTCCATCGACTAGATTTAGGTCACTTAGGAGGCGGACTGTTTCGATCTTGCTTGTCAAGGCCAACCCGGGCTGAGAGGGAGACGATGTCCCATCAGAAAGATGGCGATACTCGATGTTAAAAAAAGCAACTTCCTTCACAGGAATTGAAGTCAGGTCTTCTGCGTGCGACATCAGAGCGCTTAACCATCAAGGCTTGGCCGGCTCTTAAATGACTTATTTGTGTTGCAAGTGCCGTTAAAGTGTTTTTAAAACCAAAAACTGAACACGTTTAGGCTGCAATATAGCCTTGGTCAAAGGACGAGACGTATCCATTCCACACTAGGAACAACTGATCTGGAGGTTACTACCCCAAAAGAAGACCCCAAGACAAGCATATCTCGAAACCTGAAGCTTATCCACTATCCACCGGGGTGTTAGAAAAATTCACATTTCCACGATCCACTCTTGACTGCTGGACGTGAGGCATATCCAATATCCATTCTGGATCACAGGACCAATGGCATACCCACTGTCCACTACCAATTACAGCAACACAGGCACATTCATTATTTAGTCTGGGTTACATTATCCACTCTGGGTTCCTGAAGCAATGATAAGCCTAAATCAAGTCCATGCACGCTGTATTAATGAACCAATGGTAAATACAATTCACTCTTCTATCGAAGAAGTTGTGACGCATCCTTCCCTATCCAGTTCCACCCACACAAACAGAGGCGATTCCATTGTGACCTCTGACCTGCCCACGTCATAAAAGGTCAGCACCATTCATTCCCCACAAATGTCACTCGCAACAATCGGACCAAGTGACGCGTTAATTGATCTGGACAGGACAGAGCCACACAACCATTCTAAATGCGGAAGGAATATCATTTTTAGCGTTGAAGTTTCAGTTCGGTTACAGAACAGCGCACGGACACGATGGAAGCCAATTAGTGCAAGGGAAAAGGAAAGTAATATTTTCTTTTAATTTGCATTACCACTTTATGCCCCGGTAGGCACCGTTTAGGTCATTTAGGAGGCACACTGCTTCAGCACGGCTGTCAAGGTCAACCCAAGGTGAGCGGGATATAATATCCTAGCAGCGGACGGAGATGCTAGATAACACACACACACACACACACACA